AGAGGCGCAACACAAGTGACCATCGCTCCCTTCTTTTTTTGCCCTCGTTTACACCTCTAGTATACACATAATAAGATGAAATCTGCACCTATTCAGATATAGTATATCCAGCCGTAATATTATTTGAATGAATTGAGGTCTTATGTATGAGACCACCTCTCTTCTATTAATTACATACATACCAAATATTTATTTTTTTTATTTGCAGTGCTAACTAAAATTATTTAAAAATTAATAATTAATTTATATATATATTCTTTATATCTATATATATATGAAATGATTGGCGTTCGTTACTTTAGTAAATTCGATGATCGTCATTTATTCTTATTTTGGACATTTAATTTGCCAATGCAAGTACGTATTGTTCGATTTATAATTGTTGGATGACATTTGATTTCTTATATGACATTAAAGTACGGTCCACTATGGGAATACATATAATTTCAACGGTCAAATTTTCTGTTGGAAAATATAAATAAGATGTGGGTTAATTTAAAGGTCAATGATATTACTGACAAGTTTTGACGCCTGATGTTTGTTGATTTGGAGAAAATATTGTACCAGGGATTTTGCAAGTAGAGTTATGTGCGGAGTCCAATTAAACTACGTTACATGAAGGTGATAGAAAAAAAAAATTCGTCCGATGACACAATGGAATATTTCTCTGTGTTATTCAAGTGTTATTGTGTGTTATTCAGGTGTTAATGTGTATTATTTAAGTGTTATTGTGTTATTATAACACCAGGAATATTCTCATAATACAATAACATCTCCATAATATATAATAACACCTGAATAACACGGGAGAATATTCTCCGGTGTTACCGAGCCGATTTTTTTTCTGTAGTTTTTTGTGACGTGATTTCATTGGACTCCGCACTTAACTCTACGTGCGAGGTCTTGATGTAATAATTTTTCGTTGATTTGTGTCAACATAACGTTCGACATCCGTCAGTTTCTCGATACCCCGACGCTTGACCATCAGAATCTATATAAAAATAAAAAAATACATGCACTGAAATAAAAATACATTCCATTACATTCACACCTACAATCTTAACACAGAAACAAATACAATTATATATTGCAGACTCTAATTTATCAATCCAAACAATTATTAAACTAAAACTATATGAATGAATGCACAAGTAAGCACATAAATAATCGTATTGTATTGAACCAGAGAATTACGGTATATGTAGATAAAAATAACATGTCTAGATGTCTCATAAAAAATAAATAAATAAATAAATAAATATCCTAACATCTTTAGCAATGTCCATCATCCTCCGTTGACAATTGTTTCTCTCTAAGTTGTGTCTAATGTGCAATGCATCTAATTCTATTTATATTTTTTCTGCCAATTTAGATTTCATCTCAGTAAGCTTAGCGTTGAATCAGACTTCTAAATCAGGACAGAATGTGAACCTGCCAACGAACGACATCCTCCTGGGCTATAGAAGTAGATTTAGTAATTGCACTAAAGAAGTGATGAGCGTCGTAAGCTTGTGCCTGTGAACCCAACCTATAAAGGTTTGCTCCCAATATCCCTCTCCGCATATCATGGTTGGACTGGTCTATTTTGTTTTTTTTTTTTTCTCTTTTACTTTTGAAGAAGTCACCAGCTTACCTATCGTTATATAACTTCATTTTCTGAGTAAATTTTTCTTTCGGATCATAAGGATGATTTAGAGAAGAGAAGAATTGGAAGGTAAAGACATACGACAAAAGAAAAAAAAAACATGTGGAGAACTTTCGTGAAGAAAACTTTGTGTGATAAACCAAAACCGTACACCTAAAATAATAAGATCATGTCAAAATTGTCTTGGAAGCATATTCACAAAGAAGACCTGCGAAAGCAACCTACAACCTGAGATTCAAGTATGTGTGTGTATTCTGGGGTCAAGAGCAACTCTCAAATGGATGTATCCATTTGGTTAATTATATCGTAGGGGTGCCCAAGAATGCTCTCAATTAAAAGAATCTCGCTTACAATTGTCTAGCGACTAGTAAAGAGTGTCATAAAAGACGATTATCTCACATGAGTGTTTTGATGCTTCAAAGCTTGTGCCGACCCATACAGACAGTGAGTCTGTCTCTCACGATCCCATACGGATGGCGACTTATCGGTGACCAGGGCCTATGAAATAACCGAGTCGACTCATAGGGTCCACATTTTGTTTTGAAATCCTAAATGTGTCATAAGGGTTGAGGGTAAATCGCAGTATCTCAAATGGGCGGTGGCCTATCCACAATTGAAACATGGGAGTCGGCATCAACAAAGTGTCAAAAAGGACTGATAGGGTCAAAGGGGGTAAATAAAGGAAGGGTAGAGTAATACTAATATGGTAGAGATACTCAGGTCAGGATACCACAGATTTGTCATCCCAAGCTATTAAGACCTCAAGTATACTTGATCGTGAAGGTAGTCGACCTAAAGTGACAGGAGACTCACTTATCAGCAATCCTTGAATTGCATCTTACAAATGAATCTCGGTAGCCCTAAGGTCAAGATAAGGAAACTCTATTTCTATGACCCTATGTAAGTAAGAAGAGCATAAGTGGAACTTATATCTATCAAAAGTAGTGATGATGTTGTTGGAGTGGAAAAGAGGAGAGGTCTAACGACAGAATTGAAACCACTCTCAAGAAAGGACTTACTCCTCGCCTGCATCAGGAAGTCTCTGACACTGTAAACATGCTAGGCAACCACCGAAGTATAAAACTTATGTTTGGGCAATCGGATTGAAGAAGCACGAGGACTTCTCCTCGGGACATGCAGAATGATTTAGTTTTCTATTAATTTTGACAGGGGATATAACCATACAATGTAGCTCGTTTAAAATCTGAGCTGAGGTCCATGTAGAAATATATAAGTGTGAAATTTGAAAATCCTGAATATTTTAAGTCTAAATTTTAATTAGTCTCAAAATTTTATTAATAAGCTTTTTTGTAGAAAGTTTATAAAATTTTAGGTCATAAAGAACCAAAGTAATATGCACAACTCTCAGACAAAATCACAAGCAAAAAATGGCAGAACTAGTAATCACATGTCAGGAAAATAGTAAAGCAATCCAAATACAAAATAATAAAAGTTCAGGTGTTGTTGGGTCGGCAACATATCCTAGAAATAGAAAAGTATGATCAAACATCACAAAAAATATATGTTTTTTTATAATTCTATACATCAATGAAATTTAAAAATTAAGGTACAGGACACGAGCTAACAGCTTCAGATCCCCGTCGCCCGTCTGACACTTTGGAACCCCTGCTCGTACCTTATTTTTAATACAAGACTCTTCTAAGGACTATAAAAGTACATAAGAAAAGTTAAAAAAAAAAACACTCAACCTGCACAAAAATAAGGTTAGCAAAAAAAGCTACCAACATGCAGCACATATGAGTCATGCTTGACGGGAGGAACTTAATGGCACTCGTAGAAAGAAGTTAGTCATTCAAATCATTACTTGCTCCTCCTTATTACACGTAAATCTGTATGTTTTAGGCATGGTTCCCTGCAAGAAAACCGCCCTTAATATAGTAGTGTGCACATTTTAAAATCGGTAAACATGAAAAATACACCAAATGCACAAAAGGTTATGCTTGGCTAGGGCAACCAAACCAACAAAACACTATAGGCAATAGATCGAAAAGGGCTGCCTTGCATTTTAGTTTTTAGCCTAACACACCATCTAACGTATTTTCGTAACACAACATCTAAGTGAGTGTAGGGTTATGTCATAAGGCAGGCATATCTTTTGATAGGGTCGTCGTCTCCAGCTCCATCCTGAGGATCCAAGGAATCTAAGAGGTGTCATTAGATGTAAGTTTTGAAAAAACTTAAGTTTTAAAAGGTTGAACTCACACATAGTCTAAAGTAGAGATACATATAGTTTCAAAATATATTTTTAAAAAAATATATTGCACAAAATAATAAAAATATGTAGATTTTTTTTTACTTTTAAATTAGTTCATAAGAAATAGAGAACCTAAATGACACCTATTAGATCTCTTGAAACTTTAGCACAAACTTATGTATGTTGGTCCACAACGTGATAACTAGTATTGTCCACCGAGACATCCTTACGGGCAATACTAGATGTCGCATCGTGACCAGCGGAGGTCGATGCATAACAAGGAGTGTGGTGTGAATGTGTTCATGCAAGCAGTATGAGACAACCATGCAATTATGTGACATTTAAGTGGATTTGATTGATTTAATCAAACTGGTGGTGGTCGATTGATCTAGTCGACGGAAGAGATCGGATCGGCTTGGGCAGCTGATTGGCGAAGAAGGGTCAATCAAACAAATCCGGCCGGTGCCGGTCGATCGGTCGAACCGATGAAGGTGGTCAATTGGACCAGTGTGAGCGACCAATCTACGAAGAAGGGTCAGTTGAAGCAATCAAGTCGATGACGGTCGATTGATCGAGTCAATCGGGCTAGCGCGGATGACTGATCGATGAAGGAGGGTCTATTGATGTGATCAAGCCAGTGCAGCCAATCGATTAAAAAGGTTGAAGGTGATCAATTGGGTTGGAGTGGGCAACCTTGATTTGTGTGATCAAGTTGATGGCAGGTGGACTATCAAAAAGACCGAACGAACACGTCGGAGTGGGCAGTAGATCGACGAAGGATGGTTGATTGATGCGATTGGGTCGATGGTAAATGATTAATCAAAAAGACAAAAGTTGGTCAATCGAGCTAGCATGGGCTGCCGACCGATCGAGCTAGCATGGGCGGCCGACCGACCGACAAAAGATGGTTGATTAATGTGATCGGATCGATGGCGGTAGATTGATCAAAAAGACTGAAGGTTGTCGATCGAGCTAGTGTGGGCGACCAATCGAAGAAGGAGAGTCGATCGAAATGTTTGGACTAGTAGCAGTCGATCAATTGAACCAACGTATTCATGCACAAAATCAATTTTTTTAATGCACATTTTAAAGCACATGCAAAACATACCAATGCAAATGCTAACACATGCATCATAAGAGACCCAATGGATTTAGACGACGAAATTGAGCTCATCCTAATGATCTTATGGGTGAACCCTAAGGGTAAATGACAGTACAAAGCGAGCATCACACAAAGCGACGAGTGGACGCCTCCATTGGCCCATCCCTTTTACATGGGGAAAACATTTGCGGTTCAGGTAACATAAAAGTCTTGAGACTTTTCATGCCCTACACCCAAACGGTAGATTAAATTCCTCCCATAATGAGGATGAAATCACAGGCCCAAATGCAGAATTATGATGATCATGACGTTCAAATTTTAGGCTAGAAAAGGGAAAAAAAAGTTAGATTTTGCTCTTTGGATTCACACGGGAAGCACAAAGCTCCTAATCCTATGTGGTTTCCTCTAAGCACAAACAAACCTAACCTAAATCCTCTAAGATCCAGGCTTAAGGGCCCAAGAAAAGGAAATCACAAGATTTTACGAGTTGTCTCACCATCTTAAAGCTTGAGGACATGTTCACTCTGCTTGTCCGAGCTCCGACGAAGTTTCATCGAAGCTCCGATGAGGTTCGCTTCGCTCCTTTCCAAAGAAATGAAGAAACTTTCTTGTATAAGGAGGGTTTGGGGAAGTTTCAGCGGATGTACAAGCTCTGACGATGCTCCAACAATCCTTCCCCAAAGTATGAAGAAGCTCGTCTTCACCATAGGAGAGAAGACACCTTTCCCTTTTCGTTAGTCAAGGTCTTCCTCAAGAAAACCTCACACAAACTCAAGGAAAGGAGTGGAGGAAGAAAAAGAATATGAAGGAAGAATGTTTTCTTGGTGGGGAATCAAGGAGAAGATGAAGAAGAAAAAGAAGAGGGTTATAGGAAACCAAGCCCTCTCTCTACCTTTCTCCCAAACTCTTCACCACAAGGTCTTCAAAAGAAAACCCTAGCTTTTTCTCTAGCAAGAAGAGGAAGAAGAAGCAGCTCCAATCCTTCTCTTGGATGCTAAAATATTGAAGACAAAGTCTTTGGAGGGGCTAATTGGAAGAAAAGCCCAAAGCCAACTTCTCCCCTCTTTTTGCCAAAAATGGCCTTGCCTCGTCATCTTGAAAGCTTCCAAAATAAGTTTAATAATCCTTTTATCTCGCACCTAAGCAAATCTCCCCATAGACCAAGACAACCTTGCAATTTTGGCTACATAGCGGCTTGGTCAGGCTCAAAAAGAAGAAATTCAAGGGAGAAAACCTGGTCCAGATTTTGGACTGACAATTAGGCGTTGGTTTTGGTGTTGGGTGATTGGAACCTACTTTCCCAAGGCTTGTGAAATGTTGCTTCAAGCATTATGGGCACCTTGGTGCCAATACACTGGCGCCAACTTTCCCAGGCCTCGATTTGGAGGCTCTAGAAGGTGGTTTTGGGTGCCAAGGTGCTAATCTAGCCCCGAAAATCCTAGTTTTTACAGGAGAGACCTAGTGAAGGATATTTTTTATTCAAAAGTTATTACAGATCAAATATGACTAAAATAAAGTTCCATACCTATGGAGACAATGATATTGTATCAATGATTCTAGCACTGACGGGTGCCCCGAATCATCATGCAGCTACGTCGTTCTGAACCCTAATCTCGACAGAAATAAACAATGTGTGATTTTAACATGTGTTTTACATTTGTGATGATTGATCGAAAATGGAGTGCTCACGATAACATAATTTTCAATTTTGTAACCCAATAGTGTGAATCTAAATTTCCATTGCCTTCCCAAAGTTAGTATATTTCAGGCATCATAAGAATATTTTTATTTTAGAAAATGTACTAATGATGTCATTATTCAAAATAATATTATTTAGTCAATTTGAAATATCCACTGCAACTGTGTTTCTTAAAACCATTTCTCGGCATTAGGTACCGCATTCCTGATTGTGAGCACAACAACCAAGTGATTAGAGTGAGGCATGAACTCTTCAATAAAAGGCACTCATCATTCAATAGTGTTATCGATAGAGTATTCAGTGTATGAAAGAAGAAGTGAGTCATACTTTGAGATATCTTGACATACTCTTTCAAAAAATAGGTGAAAATAGTTGTTACAACAACAACGCTCCATAATTTTATATATAGACATCCATCCCGAAGCGATATTGATTTCAGGGTCTTAGATGAAGATCCTGCTTGCATGCTTGGGGAAACATTCCAACATCGGACAAAAATTTAGTGTTTAAGGAGGACTTTAGTACTGTCGAGTACAACAACTCCAAGGGAAAAGACGTGCAAGAGATGATATAGTTAAGATAAGAGATTACCAATGCTTTGGTGAACACATCAACTGTATTTATGTAGCATCGCCTACTGATTTTTTTATTGATAATTCATATTTCACCTGTACGTTGAATTTGTGAATGTATATTTTCTAAATCTTTGTAGCAATCAATATTTTAATTTCCTTGATGTGTCTTAACCACATTTTATTTTTTATTATAAAATTATTTAATTTTCTTTTGTATTTTTGTTGCTTATTTATTTTTTCTCAAACGAAGCCATAGTGTATTACAATAACATGAAACATAAGTTCAAGAGCATCAAGTACATCAAGAGTTCCAACCCGTTACTGTGACACACTGTGGGTTGATTACCGGTTGAGAGGGGAAGACACCTATGGGAGAAGATATTACTATTGTCCCATAATCAGAACATCTGAAGATTGTAATTATTTTCGTTGGGTTGATGACATAGATGATTTCACTCTGGACAATGATTGGGTCAGCTGAGATGCTACCTTTGAGAGGAGGTTACCTCGAAGACTTGATCTTCAGGACATGAAGACGAACGTCAATTTAAGCTTGTTGGTTATTGCGATTGTCCTCGTTACTATAGTTATATGCAAGAAATAACATTCTTTACGTATTAGAGTATTTTGCATCATGCTAATATTTTTTTTTTTGTAGCAGAACCTATTTATGTTATTTTGTTGTAACTATTCTTAAAATTGTATATATATATATAAATAGACTTTCTAATCATAAATAACTGTAGCATGACAGATCTCCCAAACAGACTCCTACTTCTACATAAGCAACTTTCTGACAACTCTTGAGAAGTTACTTCTCCAAGAATAATGCTTCTTGAAAAAACAATAGTCACCCCAAACACACCCTAAGATTCTATTTATGGTCGTTGCAACTGTTTGAAGAAGCAACTTTGAAGTTGCTGTAAAAAAAAAAAATTATTTTTCAAAAACTGCGGTGCCTATTACAACTTTATGTTATTTTCAAAAAATCAGACTGTAACTTTCTGATAACTGCCATATTTTAACATCTCAAGTTAAAAAAAAACAACTTTCTATCACATAAACTTTTTAAAAAACTACAAGAACAGTTTCTCAAACAGAACTGTGACGGGAGCATGAACAACAAAGCAAAAAGAAAGTTGTTCCAAAGAGGCCCTAAGTGTTTATCATAAGATTTTACTTAATGTGAAAATATGACTCTTAGCTCCGTGCAAGGAGAACAATAAAAACCCTTTTTTACTTTTTCTAGGTCTTTACTCCGAGAAATAAAAGTAGATTTACATATACATAACACTCAAATTCTTATGCAACTACATATCCAAAGCCTAAACTTCAATATTGACAAGCATAACATTTTATTTATATGTGAAAATGTATATTTTATGTTTTAAAAATTAAAAAAGAAATATTTTTGTTGTGACAATATTATACAATATTAATGTATAATCAAAATTTATATGTTAGATATGTAAATACATAAAAGTTGAGTGGTATATATGTAAATACCCAAAAATAAATAAGATGACTCCGATTTGATTTCGATTTGAGAAGCTTAGAAATGCAGTGCGCTTCCACAGCTACATTCTCCCCATCGCTTCAACTGACCTCCTCCTCCTATCCGCCTATCTTCAGGAAGAAGTCAGCACTGTGCCCATCCACAGAACCCAAACCACCAATCTTAGCTTTCAACATCGGAGTGCAGGAAGTAGCAGAACTTGCACACAACAAGGCAAATCTTTTCAGTGCGAGAGCTTTGAGATGTCTTCCTCTATATCTTGATTTTTATTTACGGTGTTCGATTTCCGTTTTTTTAGGTTTTGGTAGCATCAACGATATCATGCCTCGTCGGTCAAATCTCAAAACCATTTACTTCTGCTATTAATGGAAAAGGAATCGATTTAAAGGCAGCTGTTCGATCTGGTGGCATGCCGTCCACTCATTCTGCTGTAAGCTTGCTTTCTGCTTAAACGAATCTCCTGTCCATTTCTGCTTTATCATTTTTGTATGTTGACTTTTTTATCGAATATTTGTTGGAAATCTATTTGGTTACGATTAACTATGTGGGATTTGGATTTCCAGGCTGTAGCTGCCGCTGCTACGAGCATTGCTTTAGAGAGGTATGACGAGTTTATGCTGTAAATTTCGTGGATTCACTTTAATTTTTTGGTCTATGCCCATGATCGTATATATCTTAAGGGGGTGTTTGGTAGCACACTTTTAACAAGATTTAGCCATGGATTTAAGATTTAACTTAAATCCAAATCCAGGCAAACACAATAAATAAATAAATAATAAAAAAAAAATGAAATCTAAATCCAACTCTATGTTAAACTGAATTTATTCCGGTTCTGTCTGTAAATCCTGAATTAATAAATCCCACAGAGAGGCGGATTTAATGGATTTAGGTTGTCGTTGCTTGTGACCTTCGCTCCCATCACGAGTTCGCCGGAAATCCAGATTTGATTAATCCTGCTTAACGTAAATCTGACCCTGCAACCAAACACCCCCTAAGAGATTTGCTTTCAAAATTTATTTGAAAATTGATTGTGTTTAATGTTCAACGGGCGCATATAAAGGAATTTTCTCAACCATCTGTCAATTTATTTCATGGAAAACTAATAATTGCTTTTTTGCTTCAGTTAATGGATTGAGTTATTTGACATAACTTGGTTGGCTTATAAAATGTAGGGGTTTCTATGATTCAATTTTTGGCCTTTCTGTGGTTTTTGCTTCTGTTGTAATGTATGATGCTCAGGTACACCAACTTGATTTCCATGATTTTGTTAATTCTTTAGCAGTTTCAAAATATTAGTTTCTTGCACTAAGGATTTCCTTTGATGAGTTTCTTTTGCATATTTGCTTCTTATATTCATGATGCTTGCTTTAGTTTATTTGTAGCTTCAGATTAATCAAAACTATGCAATGCATGAGATAGAAATCACAATAAAATGTATGGATCTATTTGTTTATCAAGTAGGCGTCACTTTCTGCCACTATGGAATTATAGTTAACAAACGCATCTGAAGTATATTTGTAAAACTTTGATTTATAAGAAAAGCATGGCTTGATAAGAGAAAAAGCATAGTTTTAAAGGTAAAATGCTTTTTGTTCCTTGTTGGAAAAATAATACACGTGCTATTTAAGCATTATTATAGCTGTTTCATTGTTGAGATAAGCAGTGGCGTTGGTCTATGCTAATATGTGGAGCGTGATCGTGTCAATTAATTGGTCACTCAAAGCCATTAGTTTCAGCAATCAAGCTTAACTTTGAGTTTGCCGGGTATTACGAGGAGTGTCCCATTGTATTGGGTTTGGGGTTGCCTCCAATTTTTTTCTTTATTTTATTTTATTTTTTATTTTTATTATAAACCGTACCCAACAGCCAAAAGATAGCAACACCGCACCCATTACATGTTTCAAAACTAGAGAGCTCGACATTGTACTATTTCAATGTCTTGGCGCCAATAACAAAATTCAGACAGTTTTGACTTAAGGTTTTGACTTGGCTTCTTGATTTAGTGCATGTTTTACGTTGGATTTTGAGTTTTTTCTTGTGCAAAGGAGAGGATTGTCTTGATAATTTAAAAATGTGGAGAAGTTTGAGTGGTGTAATTTGTATAATTCTCCTCATTTTTCTTCATAGTGGATTTTTTGATGTGGTGTGGCTTCGTGATTTTTTCCTATTCTTGGGATTTCCAGGTTAAATCTGGTGTTATGTGTTTTTTTTTTTGTTTTCTTGAGTTGTGCTCTTCCGTTTAAATTTTTTTTTTGGATCTCTCAAATATATTTCTACATCTCTTTCAACAAGTGGTATTAGAGAAGTGTTTTTGAGGTTCTTTGGTTTGATTGGAAACAGTGGCCGATGAAGCGAGACAGAAGTTTGAGAAGTTCAATGGTTTGAACTTTATTTTATGGAAAATGTAAATTAATGATATTTTATGTCAAAAGAAACTATATTTGCCACTGGATGGAATTACCGAGAAGCTAAAATTGTTAACTCTGGAAGAATAAGAAGTTCTTGATCGCATAGCTCTAGATTTGATCCAACTTCACTTTTCTTAGTTGTTTCTTTCAACATTGTAATGAGAAGCTACTTTTGATCTTATGGCCGCACCAAGAATGTATGAGAAATCTTTAGTCAAACAAAGTTTTTTTGATAAATAGATTATTTAATATCGAGATGATGGATGATAGTTCAATGATTGAATACTTGAAAAACTTTAACACTGTGACTAACTAGTTGTGTTTTGTTGACATTAAGTTTGATGATGAGGTAGGGCACTATTACTCTTATCTTCATTACCTGATAGTTATGATGAACTTGGTATTGTAGTAACTCTTTAGGAAATATAAAGTTGAACTATATTATGAGATTAGTGTAGAAAGAAAAAAAATCATAAGAAGACGAGTGGTGAAACTTGAAATTATGTTCTGAATGTTCATACTAGAGGAAGAAATTTGATTGGAAACACAGACAGAGAAAGATCAAAGTTCAGGAGATGAATGCCCAAGTTAAAGAGAGATGAAAGGCAGAGGCAAATACTGAAACGAGAAGAAAAAAATATCATTTTAAGAAAAACTAAAGAAATTTGAAGAAGATTTGTAGTGGAGGTATGGATACAAAATTTTCTATAAATGTCTACAATTTAAATTCAAGGTGAATCCCTTATTTTATCCATAGATATTACTGAATCGTGAGTAGTGGATTCATATTTATCTTTTCATGCTTGCTCCAATAAAGAGGTGTTAAAAAATTATACTCAAGTTGATATTTAATATGTGTATTTAGGAGATACAAATGTCAGCATTATTTGAATGAGTGATGATATCATGTTACTAAATGGATCGGTCTGAAAACTGAATGAAGTTAGACATGTTCCATGTTTGAGGAGAAATCTGATTTCTATGAGTCGGCTTGCAAGGTCAGGGAACGTGACTATTTTCACAGGAGATCTTAAAAGGTGAGGAAAGGTGCAATGATGATGGCTCGAGACAACATTGATTAATGAGATGTCTGGATCTATTGGAGTAGCTAGAATAAAGGTTGATGTAGGTCTCCGACACTACAGACTTAGCTTTATGAGTGAGAAACATATGAAGTCTCTACTTTCTAAAAACAAACTCCGGGGTTTAATGTCTAAAGAATTAGATTTTTGTGAAAATTGTGTTTATGACAAGCTAAAAAGAGCCACTTTATCTAAAAGTGGGTCAAAGTTGAAGTTAGTGCATAATGATTTATGAGATCTTACTTCAGTTCGTTCTGTTGGAGGTTCTCAATATCTATCATTTTCTTTGATGATCACACTAGAAAGGTATGTTTTATTTCTTGAAACAAAAAATTGATGTATTTGATATATTTAAGAAGTGAAAAATCATAATTGAGAATAAGACCTGCTTGAGATTAAGTATCTCAAATCAAATAATAGTGATGAGTATCGTGATTAGATGTTTATGAGATATTGTACCTCATAAGAAATCAAACATGAGTTCACTATTTTTACGACACTACAACAAAATAGTGTTGTTGAACACATGAATAAAACTATCATTAGATGTGCTAAGAGTATGAGGCTTGCCAGAATAGTTCTAGATAGAAATAGTTAACACTAAAATTGATCTGATAAATTGTCGTTCTTCATTAACTTTGAACGAAGACTCGCGTAAAGCTTGGAGTGATAAAGAGGTAAATCTATCTCACTTGAAGTCTTTGGTTGTTCATCATATGTTTATGTTGATGTAGGATCCAAAAATAAGCTGGATTCGAAATTTAACTATTGTATTTTCATTGGATATGATTCAAATGAGCTTAATTACAAATTATGGGACTAATAGTATAAAAAATTCATTAGGATTTGAGAGGTAACTTTCAATGAAATGGAGGTGTACAAGAACAAAAACAAAAACAAAACTCAGGACCAGTTACCAGTTGCTTTTGAAAACCTCTCTAAATATGTTGAGATAAAAGACATTAGTGACTAGGGAGATGAATAAAGAAATGTGCTCAATGATGAAACACAAAAATTTTTTATGATATTTGCTACTAAAGTCAAAAGGTCTAGCAAAATCTCACGATCAAAACTGTACTATTTATTGTTGTCTGATAGTTGTGAACCACAATGTTATGATGAGACCATTCAAGTAGATTACTTAAAAAAGTGGGAGTTTGCCATGGATGATGAAATACAATCACTAATTTTAAATAAGACGTAGGAATTGATATAATTACTAGATGATAAAAAGGTAATACACAACAAGTGAGTTTACAGACTAAAAAAAAATCAGATGATATCAAGTTCTACAAGGCGAAACTTATTGTGAAGGGATTTTAACAAAGGAATAAGACTACACATATTTTCTCTTGTAGTGAAAACGATAACTATTAGAGTTGTGTTGATCTTAGTAACAATGAAAGATCTATATCTGGAGTAGATTGGTGTGAGAGAATCTTCTTAAATGATGACTTAGAAGATGAGCAATACATAGTGCAACCATAGAGATATGATGTTCTAAAAAAGAAGATATGGTTTGTAAATTAAAGAAGAGTCTTTATGATTTGAAGCAGACACCTAAACGGTGGTATATGAAATTTGATAGGTTCATGTTAGACAGTAGGTACACGAAGCGTTAATTTTTAATAATTATTTAATTGTGTTTTTTTTGTATGTGGATGGTATGCTGATTGCAGGTGCATATGGAGAAGATCAGAGATTTGAATGAACAATTATTAAGGGAGTTTGAAATGAACAATTTAAAATTTAACCAAGTAAATTCTCGGCATAAGAATTAGTAGTGACAGATGTGCAAGTTTATTGAAGTTGTCTAAGACAAAATATATTGAGAAGGTCCTACACATATTTAATTTGAGTGAGAAAAAATCAGTTTGCACCTCCTTAGGTAGTCACTGTAAGCTAATGACTAATTGCCTAAGTTTGAAGCAGAGCAAACACAAATGAGAAGAGCCCCATATGCTTCAGTTGTTGTAAGTTTGATATATGTGATGATATGTATAATACCAAATATTACACATACAGTGGGAGTTGTCAATCGATGTATGAGTAATTCAGACAAACATTATTAGGCAGGAGTGAAGTGAATTTTTAGATACTTGAGATGAATATTCAACAAAATAATTTATTTTGAAAGTGCATAGATTAATATACAGGGATATGTAAATTTAGATAATGTTGGAGTACAAATATCATCACTTTGGGGAATACAACAATGAGTTGGTTTCCAAATTATAGAAGATTGCTGTTCTATCAACTATATAAGCTAAGTTTCTTCCTATCACCAAGGCTAGCAAGGAATGATTTGGCTACGAAGCTTTATGGCATAACCTGTCAAGAAGCAAGAGAATGGAAACTTCATAGTGACAGTGTGAGTACTAGTCATCTAACAAAAATGCCGCATTTTATGCCATAACGAAGCACATTCAATTAAGATATCATTTCATACGTCATTTCTAGAAAATATACAATTATCTTTGAAGAAAATACGTACAACTCAAAATCTTGTTTATATGTTGATTAAGATTGCAACAACTGAGAGATTGAAGCGCTATGCTTAGCTTCAGTTGGAGTTTAGGAAGTTTGACCTGGTTGAGCCACACTATAGTTCATAATTATGAAGAGACTGCAAATTTGAAGGAGCAGGATTGATTGCAACCAGTCTTCAAGTATGAGATTGTTTTTTTTTATGGAGCCTATTTGTATCAGTTAATTGGTTACTCAAGGCCTTCAGTTTTGTCGATCAAGT